CGCTCTGAGTATTTACCGCTGCACTATCCGTGCCAAGCAGCGCCGGCGTCGCTTCGTTAGCGCGGATTACTCTCCTTTAAGGTGGCTCGGTATTTCCRAATGGCCGAATCGCTTATGTCGATTTTGGACTCACAACTTTTGCCCCCTCTAAGCAATTGGCATAAAACTTTACCAACATCTAAAACAATCATTTAGTTATAGTATGGTATATTCTGATTGCATTTCAGGTTGATAATTTGTAAGATGTAAGCGATTAAGCAAATGCACTGTTTTCACAAAAACTCGATTTTGCGAAAAATCTGTCCGTTTTATTTATGAAAATTTTGGGATCCTTTTAGATAAACATAACACACAATTTGGCCAAGTTTAAAGAAATTCCTTGGCGCTGAAATACCGCTACAGAAAGCTCACCTAAATTCACCATTGTSATAATCTTTTAAAGTTGTGAACTAAATAGTCTTTGACTGAACATGCTTGACAGCCATAGTTTTTAAAAAGTAACGGCAATTTAACATATATATATATCCAAATGTCATACCGCGATTACCAATCAGGCTGACAGTTTCAAAGTATTTTAAAGTAACGTTAATGTAATAAAAAGCTCAAATACCTGCTTAGGTCTACGAAGCTGCGTTTTCTTCAATTTCTTCGTGGTTATCCAGAATTGTTCAGTCATAATTTGCCCACATAAATTTCAAGGTACTGTGACGAATTATCATCAAATTTAGCTGCTGTTTATCGCTTTGAATAAGAGAAATAACGTATTGGGTCGAACACTGTTCCGTGTCGAAGCTCAGTCGAAGTTCTTTGCTGATTTGGTGTTGAATACGAAATGAGCATAAGGTGTAAAATATGTCAACAATTCACACGCTTGTTAGGGGGGTTGYTTGAGACGGTCTTAATTTCATGCATAGCATCCAAAATAAAATTTCTCCTATATTGTTTCTGAGACCGTCTCGAACACCCCGTGTTTCACCCGTGTGACTGAACAATTCTGGATAACCACGAAGAAATTGAAGAAAACGCAACTTCGTGGACCTAAGCAGGTATTTGAGCTTTTTATTACATTAACGTTACTTTAAAATACTTTGAAACTGTCAGCCTGATTGGTAATCGCGGTATGACATTTGGATATATGTTAAATTGCCGTTACTTTTTAAAAACTATGGCTGTCAAGCATGTTTAGTCAAAGACTATTTAGTTCACAACTTTAAAARATTATCACAATGGTGAATTTAGGTGAACTTTCTGTAGCGGTATTTCAGCGCCAAGGAATTTCTTTAAACTTGGCCAGATTGTGTGTTATGTTTATCTAAAAGGATCCCAAAAATTTCGTCGAAATAAAACGGACAGATTTTTCGCAAAATCGAGTTTTTTGTGAAAACAGTGCATTTGCTTAATCGCTTACATCTTACAAATTATTAACCTGAAATGCAATCAGAATATACCATACTATAACTAAATGATTGTTTTAGATGTTGGTAAAGTTTTATGGCAATTGTCTAAAAGGGCGCAAAAGTTGTGAGTCCAAAATCGACATAAGCGATTCGGCCATTTGGAWATACCGAGCCACCTTAATAAGTTCATCGAATTTACCCTTTACTGAAGGCCCTTGTTCCACGATTACATATCAGTTCTAACAAGCGGCTAAATTTTGTAAACAAAAATGTTTCTTCTTATATAGTCTTTTCCTCAATACTGGCCGCAACATGGAATTAAAAAGTATGGGGATGCCACTGTTAAACTGATAGAGACCAAGGACATGGATAGTATAATTGCAAGGCAGTTTGAAGTTACAAAGCAAGGGGCAAGTAACAAAGTGTTTGATTTGATTTGACAAAATAGTCGAATAGCTTTCACTTAAACCGCAACTACAATTAAGAACAGTGGACGAACAACACATGTACCGTGCGTGCTAAAAACATTTGAGTTTGACTACCACAATAGTTAAACTTTGTTTAATTATTGTGGTAAAAAAAAACCTGACTATTTGATGTACCTTGTGTGGTGGGCGGATTATAAGCCGGCTGTCTGCACCCCTGCAATTTTTTCTACCACTGGCAACGTAGAATCTTATGTTTAATTTATGCTTTATTAATTTGTTAATTTCATTGCCGTTTATGCCTTCTACGACGGAAAAAATGTCACAGAAGTCTAAGCTCAAATACGTGAACTGTTTCTGCGACGACATTTGTAAAACTGCATTGATCCTTGTAACGTACATGCAGTGGAAACGAAACACGGTGCAACTGCTTTCGTTACGACAAAGTATATGCGTAACATTTGACTTGTAGGATCTTCGAGAAAAAATAAATACTAGTTAAAACTTACTKTATGGTCCATCGCATTATCCTCAGTCTTGCCAATACTTGTTTTTTTTTCTTCAGACTCGTCGTATTGTGTTTCATCTGCAACACTTGAATTGGAAGAACAGATGCTTCCCTGCTGATCCCCAGACAGTGTTGAATTTGATCGATGAAGTACAAAAATATCAACAGAAGTCAGGAAACTCCCCAATAGTAGTTCAGTGCAGGTACTTGTGTTATTGAAATTTATTACTCAGCCCAAGCATAAGCTAGTACTTTACTAAATCGATGCTGATCCTCTTTTCATAGCAATGGTGTTGGTCGTAGCGGTACATTCTGTGCTATTGCCTCGTGTCTTGAACGAGTCAAACAAGAGCAAGTATTGGACGTCTTTCAGACCATTAAGAGTATTCGTGTCAACAGGCCAGGAGCTGTAGAAACATTGGTATGAATTAAGCCATGCTAATCACTGTAAAAATAGAAAGAAACAATTCATCAGTTTAGATATTCCGGTGGCTAAAAAATGAAGATATGAAACACGCGCGCACGTGCTATTATTACTATATACTGACRTACAGTTTGAAGCACGCGTAGTGGGGATTACCAGAATGCGAGAGAATTAAGTTTTAAGAAAAAGCACGACGCGTAGCCGCCAACTTTACTAGAGAGAAACTTTAGTTTTACTACAATATTTACGACATTCTATCAATTCCTGGTTCCAATGATTCCTAAATTCCTTTTCCAAGTGATCATTTCCACTTCCCTAGATCATAACAATGTTTAATAATTACGTTTGAAATAAATGTATTCATTCTTTTTTTTCCTTCATTGATTTTTTCGTTTGATTTCTTTTTTTTTTTTTTACAGACTCAGTACGTCTTCTGCTACAATATCATACAAAAATATCTGGACTCCTTCAGTAATTACGCCAATTTTG